TGGCTTAGTCGGTTGAGTGATGGACTCTTTATTTCAGCTCAGGTCGTGATCTCAGGGTTCTAGTGTCACAGGATTGCAGGGTTCTTGTGTCACAGAGTCAAAGAATGAATCTTGCGGACACAAGAGGGTGAAGTAAAGTGAAAGTTTATTAAGTGAAGGTGAGAGCAGAAAGCAAAGAAGCTCTCTAGAGTGAGAGGGGTCCTGAATGGATTGCCACTGAGGGTTTTTAGTGTCAGTCTTTTGAGAACTGACTGGGAAGCTTGTGGCCTTGAGATTCTTGTGCCCTCTTGGTTTGAGCAAGGACTATTGGTAACACCCTTAATGACTTAATTCTTTGAGGTTTGGTTATTTTCTATGATTACACTGTAACCACCAAAGAAAAATACTCCCTAACATCGGAGGCCAGGTGATCTGTTTCTTTATCTCTTGTTCACTCTGGCTTAGGGCTTCTGCCTGCCAGGAATAGTTTTAGAGCCCAGCTAAGGGTCTGCCTCTCCCTGCCTGTACCTTAACCCTTATTCACTAGGATCGAGTCCCTCATCGGGCTCTGTGCTCAGCAGAGTCTGCTTGTCCCTCTCCCTCTGCTCTTCCCCCCACTTGCTCTATCTCTAAAATAAATAAAATACTAAACAAAACAAAACTTTGATCCTGGATCAGGTTGGGGCAAATGGAAGAACATAAAAGATATTTTAGGAGTAATTGGGAAATTTTAATTTAAATATTTGAATTAGTGTTAATTTCTTTTAGGTCTGATAATGATAGTATGTGATATGAAGATATAAAACATTCTTATTCTTAGCAGAGGCCTACTGAAATGCTTAGAGGTGAACTTTCATGGTGATTGTACTCACCTTCAAATGGTTCAGGAAAAAACATGGATGTATGGGAGTTAATAAGCTATTGTTTCTCAGTACAATCTTCTGTACTCTGTGCTGAGGCTGGAACTTGATGCTTTGCCAGTTGACTCCCTGAGAGGCTTTCCCTCTGTAGGGGTCTAAAGAGAAAAGGCAAGACTGGAAAAAGAAACTTGGTTCTTTCTATCTGCTCCCTAATTAGAATCCACATGAAAAGAATGAAGTTGGACACTTACCTTATACCATATACAAAAGCTAACTCAGAATAGCCCAAGGACTTAAACTTCAGAGCTAAAACTATAAGACTTTTAGAAGAAAACCTAAGGTAAAACTTACGACATTGAAAAAAAAAGACGACATCGGCTGGCAATATTTTCTTGGATATAACACCAAAGACACTGGCAACAAAAGAAAAAATAGACAAATTGGACTTTGTGAAAATTAAAACTTTGTGCATAAAAAGATAATATCAACAGTAAAAAGGCAACACACAGAGAGGCACCTGACTGTAGAGCATGCAGCTCTTGATGTCAGGGTCGTAAGTTCAAACCCCACATTAGGCAGAGAGATTACTAAAAAAAATAAAAATAAAAATAAAAAAGATTTTTAAAAAGGCAACCCACAGAATGGGAGAAAATATTGGCAAATCACGTATCTGATAAGGGATTAATATTTAGAATATATAGAAAACTCTTAGACTCAACAGCAAGAGAACAGCCTGATTAAAAATGGGCAAAAGGGGCACCTGGGTGGCTCAGTCGGTTAAGCGTCTGCCTCCAGTTCAGGTCATGATCCGGAGTCCTGGGATCAAGCTTCACATTGGGCACCTTGTTCAGCGGGGAGTCTGCTTCTCCCTCTCCTTTGACCCTCCCCACTGCTTGTGCTCTCACTCACTCTCTCTCTCTCCCAAATGAATAAATAATAATTATAATAAAAACCTTTAAAAAATGGGCAAAGGACTTGAATAGACATTTCTCCAAAGAGGATATATAAATGGCCAACAAGCACATGAAAAGGTGCTCTTGAAATCACCAATCACTAGGGAAATGCAAATCAAAACTACAGTGAGATAGCACCTCACATTCATTAGGATGGCTACTAGGGAAAACAAACAGAAAATAGCACGTGTCGGTGAGGATGTGGAGAAACTGGAGCCTTTGTGCCTTGCTGGTGGGAATGTAAAGTGGTATAGCCACTATGGAGAACAGTATAATTCCTCAAAAAATTAGAACTAGAGGGGCGCCTAGGTGGCTCAGTTGGTTAATTGTCTGTCTTCAGCTTGGGTCATGATCCCAGGGTTCTGGGATAGAGCCCCACGCTGGGCTCCCTGCTCAGTGGGGAGTCTGCTTCTCCCTCTGCCTCTCCCCCAGCTGGTGCTCTCTCTCTCTCAAATAAGTAAATAAAATCTTAAAAAAAATAAATAAATAAAACTAGAGGGGTGCCTGGGTGGCTCAGTCGGTTGAGCGGCTGCCTTCGGCTCGGGTTGTGATCCCAGAGTCCTGGGATTGAGCCCCACATCGGGCTACCTGCTCAGTGGAGAGCCTGCTTCTCCCTCTCCCTCTGCCTGCCTCTCTGCCTACTTGTGCTTTCTCTCTCTCTCTGTCAAATAAATAAATAAAATCTTTAAAAAAAAAAACTAGAATTAACTATATGATCCAGCAACCCCACTTTTGCATTTATACCTCAAAAAATTGAAAACAGAACTTGAACAGGTATTTGCACACCAGTGTTCTTGGCAGTATTTTTCACAATAGCCAAAAATGGAAACAACCCAAATGTCCGTCCACAGATGAATGGATTGACAAAATTTGGTATATACATACAATAGAATTTTATGCATCCATAAAAGGAGATGAAATTCTGGTACATGCTACAACATGGATGAATCTTGGAATAGTATGCTAAGTGAAATAAGCCAGGCATAAAAGGATAAATATTATATGATTCCATTTATCTGAAGTACCTAGAACAGACAAATTCATAGAGACAGAACATAGAATAGAGGTTACCAGGGGCTAAGGAGAAGGGAGAAGGAGCAGTGGGGAGTTATCTTTTAATGAGTACAGAATTTCAGTTTGGGATGGTGACAAAGTTCTGGAAATGGATGGTGGTAATGATTGTACAACATTATAAATGTACATTAAGTACTTTAAGTACTGAACTGTACACTTAAAAATGGATAAAATGTAAATTTGTAGTGTGTATTTTACCACCATAAAAAAATTAGAGAAATTGTTTTACTTCCTCAAATTTTTATCATACTATTCCAGAAGAAAATTTGATATTAAAAAAAAGATAGAACATCCATTTGCTTTTCTTTTTTTTTATATAAAGATTTTTTATTTATTTATTTGAGAGAGAGAATGAGAGTGCGAGAGGGAAGAGGGTCAGAGGGAGAAGCAGACCCCCTGCCGAGCAGGGAGCCCGATGCGGGACTCGATCCCGGGACTCCAGGATCATGACCTGAGCCGAAGGCAGTCGCTTAACCAACTGAGCCACCCAGGCACCACTCCATTTGCTTTTCAAAACTTTGAATCAATTACTGAGTTTACTTGGTGCCTGGAGAAGAGAATGAATTATTGCAGCTTAGTTCTTAATTGCCCTAAAGAACAATTACACAACATTGAATTTATCATCATTTTGGATTAAGATAAAGAATATCCATTGTTAGGCAAGAAGAATTTTGCTGTTCTTATGCACCACAGTCTTTTTGTTTGAACTAGGATTTTCAGGGTTAACCTAATTCAAAACAAAACAGAAAAAAAACAGACTCTATGGGGTACCAGATATGCATGGGGCATAGTCCTCATAATGTTTTAGACTGGAATAAATTTAGAACAGGCAAGCACACTTTTTTAAGATTTTATTTATTTATTTTAAAGAGAGAGCACCAGTGGGGGGAGGAGCAGAGGGGGAGGGACAAACAGACTCTGTGCTGAATGCAGAGCCCGATGTGGGGCTGGATCCCAGGACCCTGAGATCATGACCTGAGCTGAAATCAAGAGTTGGGATGCTTAACCAACTGAGCCACCCAGGTGCCCCAAATACATCTTTTAAGTTAAATAAAATCTTTTCTAATTTTCCTTTTTGTGTTATTTGAGACTTTTTCTATATTGTATTTAAATATTGATAAAATATTTGATATTAACTCATAATAGTAATGTTTTGTGAAATTTCAATATATACATACGGAGATGTATCATATTGAATCATAGTTTAAAAGATACTTCTTATTATGGGTCTTTGTAAACAAAAATTTGAAATACACTTTTCTAAACATTCTTCAGTTTTGATTTTGATTTCTTTGACCCAAAAGTTGCTTAAGAGAATTTTTAGTTTTCCCGTTATGCATATTTTACTTTATTGCTTTACAGTCAAAGAGAGAATATAGGGTATTCTATATTATTTCTCCTTGTTGGGAAAAATGTTTAGTCTCCATTGCCTGTGTGTATGTATATTTGTGTATGTATTAGATCAACTTTGTTAATTTTATTATTAACATAGAGCATTTGTATACTTATTTTTTTAGCTTTTCAGGTTAAAATAATTTCAGAATTACTTGCAAAAATAGTACCAAGAATTGCTGAGTGATATCCTTTGTTAAATAACAAAAAGTCAACCAAGTAAATTTTAAAAATCAAGTTGGCTTCATTAATTGATTCATAAATTGAGCAGCATCCTGGGGCGCCCGGGTGGCTCAGTCAGTTAAGCATCTGCCTTCCGCTCAGGTCGTAGTCCCAGGGGTCTGGGCTCAAGCCCCATATCAGGCTCCTTGATCAGCGGGGAGCCTGCTTCTCCCTCTCCCTCTACCCCTTCCCTCTGCTCATGTGCTCTCTCAAATAAATAGATAAATTTTTTAAAAAAAAAGTTGAGCAGCATCCCTTCTAGCAACTAGAGGGGAGCCCCAAAAGTCTACAGAAAAGGGAAGGTTTTTAAAGGTAGAGAGGGAGTGGGAAAAAAGGAAATTATTAGCAAAGAATCCATTATTTTAGGCAATGTCACCCGCCCCCATTCACATTACATGACCCAGACAACCTCACGTGTCCCAGTGTTTTGCAGCTACTCACTCCCATTTCAAGTTCAGTGGTTAGGAGCTTCCCTTGAAATAACAAATTTGTGCTCTTTTTTGTTTGTTTCTTCATGAAGACCAGAGGATGAGATGTTTTTAAAAAGTCTCTCTAGAGGTTACCTGGTGGGAAAGGAGCCCAACGCTCCCCCTTTCTACAGAGAAGAAGGAAACAAAAAATTTCAGAAGAAGGATTATATGGGAGCCACAGTGCTATACTCTAAGGTAAGGTACCCCCCAGCTCAGCAGGAGGGGCTGTGTTAACAATTTAGCAATGCATATTTCTTCACAAGATAGAAGCTTCTTGCTGAATTGTGTAGCCAGTGGTTGCTTTGTTTATCATTTGTGAATTGAATTTGTTAAAACTGGCAGAATTCTGCTGTTGGTTATATGCCGAAACAACAGGTAGTTTGTATTATATGTCCTGGATTCCACCCAGAAACTTCTCAAATTCCCTCAGATGCCTTGTAGCGCTATGGCTTATTGGACCCCTGGCTCTGCCTTGCCCGTGTCTGTCAGCTGTCACTGAATTGCGTGCCATTTTTATCTGATGAATGATGAGGCTGTTGGTTTGATAGTCCCAATTTAGAGAGCACCTCGATTTTTGGTTAGCCACGGTGTTAGTTTACAACCAGTATGACTTAGATTAAGTCTGAAAGGAAAATAAGCTCAGTTGCCGCAGCCTATTTGAACTCCATTTTGAAGGATGTCAACAGATACAGAAATACCTAGGAGATATCGTGGGTTTGGTTCCAGACTACCACAATAAAGCATGTCAAGTAAATTTTTTGGTTTCCCAGTGTGTATAAGAGTTGTTTACACCATACCATTGTCTGTTAAGTGTGCAAATAGCATGATGTCTAAAAAAACTGTATACCTTAATTTAAAATTCTTTATTGCTAAAAACAACACCACCATCTGAGCTTTCAGCAAGTCATCATCACTTATCCCAGCTCACTATAACAAATATAATAATGATGAACAGTTTGAAATATTGCAGGAATTAACGAAATGTGACACAGAGACACAGTATGAGCAAATGCTATTACATGGTGCTTTGATAGACTTGCTTGATGCAGGATTGCCACAAACCTTTAATTTGTAAAAGAAAGAAAAGAAAAGAAAATACTGTGTCCGCAAAGCACATTAAAATGAGGTGTGCCTGTATTTAAAATTAAGCATCCCTGAACTAGATTTTGATGAGAAAGAGTGACTTTTACCAATCTGCTGCCCTTATTGTCCTGCTTCCATGGTAGAAACTGAAGCAAGACCCCTGAGAGACTTCCTTCCATAACATTTAAAGAGATAAATATGGGCCTAAAGTAAGAATGAACCAATCCCCTGCACCAGGTCTGTGAAGATTATTAAAAGGATGAGTGTGAATTTGAAGGGTGTACCTCTACTCTGAATCTTCAACAGGGCTAAACTTGATGTTTGGAATTCGTTTTCCAACAACTATCAGACTTGGAACAACAGCCTCTCTAACTGATAAAGGCCCTGCTTTGTAATGTTATAAAGTATTTAGTGGAGTACTATAAGCATTAGTGAATGCTGGAGAATTATGATTCATTAGATGCAATGATACACTAATAAATGGCTTAATAGTTCTTTTTCAGGGCGCCTGGGTGGCTCAGTTGGTTAAGCGACTGCCTTCGGCTCAGGTCATGATCCTGGAGTCCCGGGATCAAGTCCCACATCGGGCTCCCTGCTCGGCGGGGAGTCTGCTTCTCCCTCTGACCCTCCTCCCTCTCATTCTCTCTGTCTCAAATAAATAAATGAAATCTTAAAAAAAAAAAATCTTTTTCAGAGCTAATCTCTTCAACTTTATGCATGTACATCAGAAATGTGATCCCATGGGAAGTTGTTAAAGGAAAACAAGTAAAAAGTGAAATCAGACAAAAAATTAAGGTTTGCTCTGAATGTGGAGGGAGATGAGCCTTCCTATTTCACGAAGCTAGTATTTTGGTGATTATGGTACTTCACAATTTTCTACAAAGCTGCTATTTTCTTTCTTTTTTAAAATAATTATTGTTTTTATCTGATTATAAAAGTACTATATTTTGTAATTTACTTGGAAAATAGAAGCATAAGGAATAAAAAAATCCCATAATCAATGATAGGCACTGTTAACATTTTTGCTTATATCCATCCAGACACTTTTTCCTCTGAAAATATGTTTTTCTTTTACAAAATTGGGATAATGCTGCACTTCCTGTTTTGTAATCTGCTTTTCTCCCTCAACAATTTATGACCATTTTCTCGTGTTACTAAATTTTCCACTAGCACATGATTTTTTACAGCTAGCTTAGTGTTTCATTACAGAGAACTATACTTGATTTAACATCTAATGTTGGCAGATTGCTTGGCATTGTAGAGCTACAAAGGAGCGTCTATGTAAATATTTTTACACATCTGATTGTTTTCTTAGGATGAATTCCTAGAAGAGCAATTGCTGGGTCAGTTGAATGTATTTCGTTAAGGCCTTTGGTACTTGATGCTGAATAGTTCTCTAGGAAAGAACTAGTTAACAACCCTTCTAGTAAAGTATGGGAGTGTTTGGGGTGCCTGGGTGGCTCAGATGGTTAAGCGTCTGCCTTCGGCTCAGGTCATGATCCCAGGGTCCTGGGATCACCCCACATCGGGCTCCCCGCTTGGCGAGGAGCCTGCTTCTCCCTCTCTCTCTACTGTTCCCCCTGCTTGTGCTCTCTCGCTCTCTCTCTGTCAAATAAATAAATAAAATCTTTAAAAAAAAAAAAGTATGGGAATATTCATTTCTCTATATCCTTAACAATACTAGTTATTAGGATTTTATTATTATTTTATCTATTTATTTGTTTTTAAAGATTTTATTTATTTATTTGAGAGAGAGCGGGAGAGAGCACAAGTGGGGGGAGAGGCAGAGGGCGAGGGAGAATCAGACTTCCTGCTGAGCAGGGAGCCCGATGTGGGGCTTGATCCTAGGACCCTGGGATCATGACCTGAGCCAAAGGCAGATGCTTATCCATCTGAGCCACCCAGGTGCCCCTCTATTTATGTTTGAATAGGAAATGTGTTTACATAGTTCGAATTCAAAAGGTACAAGAGTGTATATATAGTACAGTCTATTTCTTCTGTCCCCTAGCCACCTCTTACCCAATACCAGAAGCTAGCACTGTTAAATGTATCTTTCCAGGGGCGCCTGGGTAGCTCAATCAGTTAAGCTTCTGACTCTTGATTTCAGCTCAGGTCATGATCTCAAGGTCCTGATTTCAGGGCCTTAGGATCAAGCCCCACCTCAGGCTCCTCACTCAGTGCTCAGCAAGGAGTCCGCTGCAGTCTCTCCCTTTGCACCTCCTTCTGTACCTCCCCCTGCTCACATGCTCTCTCTCTTCTCTCTAAAGTAAATAAATAAATCTTTTTTTTAATGTATCTTTCCAGAGATACTTTGGCATATATAAATGAATACAAATACTCTCATTCCTGCACACACAACACTTTTTATGTAAATGACATTCTATATACACTGTTCAGCCCCATGCTTTTTTCACTTACTAGTATCTTGAAGATCATTCTACATCAGTACATCAAGAGCTTCCTTATTCTTTTCTTACAGCTACATGACATTCCGTAATATGGATGTATAGTTTATTTAACCACTGTCTTATAAATCTATATGTAGTTGATCTAAGTTGTTTCCTATCTTTTGCTATTCCAAACAACCCTGTGTTGAGAAAATTTGCGTGTTATTTTGCACATATCTTTAGGGTAAAGTCTTCTATCTGTAGGATAAATTCTAGAAGAAGAATTGCTGGTGTAATGGAGATATAAATGATATGGGTGTTTATGAAATACACATACATATTGCTAACTTGCCCTTCAAAATCATGAAACCAGCTTATACTCCCACTAGCAACATGTAAGAATGGCCATCTTGCCAGTCCTTTGACCACCCTGTGTGCTATCAATTTTATTTATCTTTGCCAGTCTGATAAATAAGAAATACTACCTTGGAGGGGTTTTTTCAGCTTATCAGATGAAAACTTCTTTTATCACGGTAAAATATACACTACATAAAATACTCCATTTCAACCATGTTTAAGTATCTAATGCCGTGGCATTAAGTATATTCACGATGTTGTGCGGCTGTCGTCACCATACATTTCCACAGCATTCTCATCAACCCAAACTAACTCTGTGCCCATTAAACAAACACCAACTCTCCATACCTCCCTCCCCCCCGCCTCGGACAACCTCTGTTCTACTTTCTGTCTCTGTGATACTGCCGATTCCAGGTACCTCATGCAAGTGAAATCATACAATATTTGTCCTTTCGTTTCTGGTTTATTTCCCTTGGCATACTGTCTTCAAGATCCAGTAGAGTTTTAATTTGCATTTTGCTGATTACGAATGAAGTTGAGCATTTTTTCGTTTCGTATGTTTTTGAGCCATTTATATTTCCCATTAGGACTGTCTGTTCCTATCATTTGCATATTTTCCTATTGAATTATTGGTCATCATCTTATTGATCTGTAGGAACTAATCATAAAGTAAAGAAATGAGCCCTTTGCTTGTGATACGAATTGCAGATATTTTTTCCAGTTCAATGTTTGCCTTTTGATATTGCTTTTATTGGTTTTTGCTATAAAGAAATGTTTTATATAGTCAAATGTATTAAGCTCTTATGACTTCTGGGTTTTGTTTCATAGTTAGGGATTCCTCACTCCAACATTACTTTAGATTCTTCCTGTAGTTTCTTCTAGTGCTCTGAGAGTTTCATTTTTTACATTAAGATTTTGATCCATTTGGAATGTATCCTAATGAAAGGTTTATCATAAGTAGAGAGCCAACTTTATTTGTCTTCAGTGGCTACCTACTTGTCAGTACTTTTATTTTTTTTTTTTTTTATTTTTTTTTTTTAAAGATTTTTATTTATTTATTTGAGAGAGAGAGAATGAGAGACAGAGAGCACAAGAGGGAAGAGGATCAGAGGGAGAAGCAGACCCCCCGCTGAGCAGGGAGCCGATGTGGGACTCGATCCCGGGACTCCAGGATCATGACCTGAGCTGAAGGCAGTCGCCCAACCAACTGAGCCACCCAGGCACCCTGTCAGTACTTTTATTGAATAATCCCTATCTTTTCTCCAGTGATTTGAGATGCTGCCTTTGTGATAATTATTAATCCTTGCCAATTTCGTGGTAGAAAAAAAGGAAACTGTGTGTGCTTTCGTTTTCATATATTTTGTGATCCACAAATGAATTAACTATTTGTTTTCTAAGAAATAAGTATCATTAACGTTTCTTCTGTGAATTTCTGTTTGTGCCACTTACCCTTTGTTACGTTGGGATTGTGCTTGCAATATTTTCCTCTGTTTTCATTTACCTTCAGTATTGTTTGTGGTTGAAGCTGTGTCTGATGCTGCTGTCTTGAAAGTGCTTTGGATATTTATTTCCTCACTTGATCTTCACAGCTTTGCTCTAAGGTAGTTAAAAATGAAGCTGAAGCACAAAGAGATCCACTAACTTTACCAATTTGATACCATCTTTCATAGTATAGCCCTTATTATCTGAAAAAAAAAAGTTTATTTTTTAATTTTTATTTTTATTATTTTTTTTTTAAAGATTTTATTTATTTATTTATTTGAGAGAGAGAGAGAAACAGCATGAGAGGGGGGAGAGGGTCAGAGGGAGAAGCAGGCTCCCTGCTGAGCCGGGAGCCCGATGTGGGACTCGATCCCAGGACTCCGGGACCATGACCTGAGCCGAAGGCAGTCGCTTAACCAACTGAGCCACCCAGGCGCCCCAAGTTTATTTTTTTAAAGATTATATTTATTTGTTTGTCAGAGAGAGAGAAGCATGCATGCGCACAAGCAGGGGTGTGGTAGGCAGAGGGAAAAGCAGGCTCCCCGCTGAGCAGGATGCAGGGCTCAATCCCAGGACCCTGGGATCATGACCTAAGCTTAAGGCCAATGCTTAACCGACTGAGTCACCCAGGCGTCCCCCCACCCCAAAAAAACTTTAAAAATGCTAGTTTTCAGTGCGCCTGGCTGGCTCAGTAGGCAGAGCATGTGACTCTTGATCTTGGGGTCATGAGTTCCAGCCCCATGTTGAGTGTAGAAATTATTTTTAAAAATGCCAGTTTTCGTTGATGCCTTTAACTGGTTCATTGTTTTGCAGGGAATATCGCATGCAAGGCCTCACAGTGCAGACATTTCACTGTGTTATGCCAATCGCTCTGCGGCCCTCTTCTACCTGGATGAGTATGAAGTGAGTATCGGGGTGCCTGATGTGATTGGAGAGGATCTGTAGGGGGTTCACTGGAAGACTAGACCTTCAGCTCTGCTCCTACCTTAGAGCACTAAAACTGGGCCCTGCTGCAACTGGTTGAGTTGGAAGAAAATTGGTATCCTCCCAAATATGTTCTTTCTCCTGATGCATTTTTTTCTTTCTCCTGATTCATTTTACCTATCACGTGATCACGTGGGGTAGTACTGGTTGATAGGAGTCATGGCACATGGCACGGGGCCATGGATGATATCCAGTGGGTCAGCAGTTCTCAGTGTCAAGATCAGCTGTGAGATATGTTGCTAATAATACTTATGGTTCCAAGTGTTTGCAAACTATTTACTTGTTTGTTTGTTTCTTAATAAGTGGAGCATGTTCAGGATTATCCTTGCAGTAATATGGCTCGCCCTCAACATACATTTTGAGTGGGCAAGTAAGTTTCACTGAAATGCCTGTGTATGCCTATGAGGGAGTGGGCTTGATCTGAGTGGCTTTCTTCTCATCTTCCGATTGAGGACTAAAGCCAAGCTCTTAAATGTCATTTTGGTACATCCGTTTTGGAATTCCACAGAAATTTTTAAAATATGCCCTAGAGTTAAGAACTAGTTGAATAATCACAAGTTCACACTTACTGCCCTTTGAACTGAAAGAGACAAGCAAGGGGGGCACCTGGGTGGCTCAGTCAGTTGAGTGTCCGACTCTTGATTTTGGCTCAGGTCATGATCTCAGGATCCTGAGATCAAGCCCCACATCAGGCTCTGCACTGGGGCGTGGAGCCTGCTTAAGATTCTCTCTCTCTCGGGGCTCCTGGGTGGCTCAGTCGGCTAAGCGGCTGCCTTCAGCTCAGGTCATGATCCCAGGGTCCTGGGATTGAGCCCCTCATCGGGCTCCCTGCTCAGCGGGAAGCCTGCTTCTCCCTCTCCCTCTGCCTACCACTCTGCCTACTTGTGCTGTCTCTCTATCTCTCTGTCAAATAAATAAATAAAATCTTTAAAAAAAAAAAAAAAGATTCTCTCTCTCCCCCCCTTTACCCTCCCCCCCCCACTCTCGCCCTCTCTCTTTCTCTCTAAAAATAAAATAAAATAAAAGAGGCGAGCAAGAATTTAACTCTAGGCCCTAAGCAAAAAGTCCTAGACAATTGAGGACAGCAGTTGGAAGAGCTTGTAAAATATTTAACCCTTTATAACCTCCCTATATTGGTTATTTCTATTTCCCTTCTTATAGCAGTGATTATCATACATTGAACACATGCACTCTTTTCAGCACTTTAGATATATTACCTTATTTCATCCTTAAAACAACCCTGTGAGGTATCCATGTTTTTCAGATGAGAACGCTAAGACACCGAGAAATGAAGTTGCTTGCACAAGTCATCCAGCTAGTAAGAAGCAATCAGTAGTGGAATGCAGATCTGTCTGGCTTCTAAGCCTACCCCTTTAATCACTACAGTTCTTCTATCTGTAAGACTTTTTTTCCTCAAAACAGAAATATTTAATAAGACAATTAAATACAATATCCTTGGCAAGTATTACTTAATCACTCAAAAGATCACACAGTAGAGTATGATTTAAAGAAATAAGCATGTGGTTATAGTTGCTCCATTTTTAATCATCTTTAACTTTCCTGTAGATTTTTGTTAAGATTTTCAGTAGACATTGAAGAGTCAGGACCAAGGGTCATGTGGGGATTTCCTTTCTGTTTTCAGATGTGTCTTAAAGACATCACGAGAGCACAGATGCATGGGTATCCGGAAAGTTTGCAACCCAAGGTGACGTTGCGTAAGGTCGAATGTCTGGTGACCCTAGGGAGACTACAGGAGGCAGGCCAGACCATCAGGGATCTTGAAAGTAACTTTGCTGCCAAACCAAGCCTAGCAGCTGCCCAGTTTCAAATTCTGCAAAGAAACCTCTGTCGTCTGAAAATGAAGGTACAAGAAAGGGAGAATCTCACAGCATCCTTCCCAGCAACTCTAACGAAAGCCTTTGAGGATATGGACCTAAGGGAAGAGAATGAACAGATTCCCGGTGCATCATCATCTGTCAGCCTATGCATGGACCCTTTAAAAGGCCGCTGTCTGATTGCCACAAAAGATATTCTCCCGGGAGAGCTCTTGGTGAAGGAGGATGCTTTTGTGAGTGTCCTTAACCCGGGAGAAAGGCCACCACTACATCATGGCTTAGAGGGCAAGTGGGATACCAGAGTTACTAATGGGGACCTCTACTGTCACCGATGTTTGAGGCACACTTTGGCCACTGTTCCCTGTGATGGATGCAGCTACGCCAAGTACTGCAGCCATGAGTGTATGCAGCAGGCCTGGGATCTCTACCATAATAGAGAGTGTCCTCTAGGAGGCCTGCTGCTCACCCTGGGTATCTTTTGCCACATCGCCCTGAGGTCGACTCTTCTAGCTAGATTTGAGGATGCCAGCGAAGTCATAAGAAAGCTCTGTGTTGAGATGAGTAACAAGGACATGTGTTCACCTGAAAGTGAGAATCTGGTACAAACACCCAGTTCTGACCCGGGAGGGGAGAGTGAGGAAAATGGCAAAACAGTTAAGACCCCGGTTCCAGGGTGTGATCTTAATGGCAAATACGAAAATAACTATAATGCTGTCTTCCACCTCATGCCCCATACTGAAAACCATAGCCCAGAGTACAAATTCCTCTGTGCGGTCAGCGTGTCTGCGCTCTGCAGGCAGCTCGAGGCCGCCGAGTCCTCGAAGCCGGCCACAGCGCCTCCTGCTCGGCGTTTGGAGTTGCGTGCCTGGGGAGTGGCCATGTTGAAGCACATGCTCCAGCTGCAGTGCAACGCTCAGGCGCTGACGAGCATTCAGCGACCAGGTGAGAGGGAAGCTTTGTTAGCCTTACGGTACCTGGGGCGGAAGAGCTGCGAATGGGAACCGTAGGGGTGCTCTAACGGGAAAGCAGAGCTCGCTATCTTGGGTCTCCATGATTACGCTATTGAGAAGCTGTGTGACCTGAACAAAGTCTTTGATCGCGCTCTGCCTCAGTTTTCTCATCTCAACAGTGTTTGATCCCACCTCACTTGACTGAGTCGTGATGGGTTTGTTTGTAAATATACTTCAAAATTAAAAACCCTGTTACAGGGCGCCTGGGTGGCTCAGTTGGTTAAGCGACTGCCTTCGGCTCAGGTCATGATCCTGGAGTCCCGGGATCGAGTTCCGCATCGGGCTCCCTGCTCGGCGAGGAGCCTGCTTCTCCCTCTAACCCTCCCCCCTCTCATGTACTCTCTCTCTCTCTCTCATTCTCACTCTCTCAAATAAATAAATCTTAAAAAAAAAAAAAACCCTGTTACAGAGGGATTTTTATTATGAAGGAGAACTGAAATAATAAGACTACAGAAAGAAGAGGGGTCTGCAGGGGAGCCTGAGTGGCTCAGTCATTAAGCGTCTGCCTTCGGCTCAGGTCATGATCCCAGGATGAGTGGCTCAGTCATTAAGCATCTGCCTTCGGCTCAGGTCATGATCCCAGGGTCCTGGGATCGAGCCCCACGTCGGGCTCCCTGCTCCGCAGGGAGTCTGCTTCTCCCTCTCCCTCCACTGCTCCCCCTGCTTGTGCTCTTGCCCTCTCTCGCTCACCCTCTCAAACGAATGAATAAAATCTTTTTTTTTTATCTTAAAAAAAAAAAGAGGGGTCTGCAGTTGAGTTAAGGTGTCAAAATCTTATTCATGTGACTCAGCTGCTCTGTCTCTACTCTTTCCAATTGACAGATTTCCCCCATTCTTCTGTTTTAAATTTCCAAGAGCGCAATCTGGCCAAGCATAGCTTTTCACACAGTACTACCATAAACTGTTGGCCAGCCTGTTTGGGCTGTCCTTTGGCCAAGGGCCAACAATCTAGGGGCCACCTCTAGACACAGATCAGCCTAGCCCTGCTTGCCTGAACCGGGTCCTATAGGTAAGGCTGTCTTATTTAAGGTAGATGGAGAGGTTGGATGTGCCCAGCATCATGAGTGACGCTGTACTGACAACAGATACTATTAGAAAAGAAACAGTGTTTCTACTTTTCTATTGTATGATCTCCATTTTAAAACTTTTTTTTTTTTTTTTTTTTTTTGAGAGAGAGAACGAGAGACAGAGAGCATGAGAGGGAGGAGGGTCAGAGGGAGAAGCAGACTCCCTGCCGAGCAGGGAGCCCGATGCAGGACTCGATCCTGGGACTCCAGGATCATGACCTGAGCCGAAGGCAGTCGCTTAACCAACTGAGCCACCCAGGCGCCCATATGATCTCCATTTTAGCAGATAATGTTGTTCAATTCAATTAGGGCATTATACTTTTCTCAGTTTTCTAATTAACTCTATTGAAGGGAAAAATTAGATATTACCTAAACCTAAGATTTATAGACAGACTGATATAAATGTGGCTTTAGTAAGCTATACATGCTTAGTTAGCTCTTTTGATCGTCTCACATTAGGTAGCCTAGAATCTTGTCAGTATGTTTTTGTCTTTAATTTTAATGCAACTGCCAAGTTATACAATGTGTAGGCGTTTCACTAGAGGTGTTTTGGAGGAAGACTGTCTTCCCCATCCTGAAACACATGGAACACCTAAAAATAGCCCTGGCTTCATCCTATAATGCTAGGAAATCCCATTGCAAGCAGTCTCTGTTCTCTTCTCTGCTTTCATTTGCTTCTTTGAGCCATTGCTACCTTTTAAAGTATATCTGTTCAGTGTTTTTCCAAAATTGTGTTTTCTCTTGGGTACATTCACTGGCATTTTAAGAAATATTATTTTCATTTAGTTTCGTTTTTGTGAACATAAAAAAATAGTATACGGGGCTTTCAGATTATAATGGCAGAAAGTTACCGACTCCTGATTTTATTGTGTCTTGCCTCTAAAGTACTTAATATAACATACAAAAAAAAGATACAAATGTCAGGAGCTCCAAAAACTATAGAAACTACTGTCCAAGTAAACAATAGCAGGCTGAATCCCTGAAGCAGAATGGCCAAGCCATGGGGACCAAAGGAGTCTTCCATCCACTTTCCACCAGTGGCCTACCCCTAACTGTCAAAGAATCTTAGCCTTAATGTTTTTGCTCCATGTGCATGACATTTCATTATAGTCAGGTTTTTATTTGCATAGCAAGTTTCAGGTAAAATTTTTCACAAGTTGTTCAGAATAAACTTTTGGATAATGAATATATGTATAGCCAGGAATACCTGTATTTTCTGTGGCTAATAAGGACTGGAGAAATAGATACATAGCATGATACTGGCTACCTGGAGTGATGGAAAGAGGATTGGAGACTTTGGCTTTACCTGTCAGGCTCTATATTTTATGCATAATTTATTCTTTATATGATGTTTTAAAAATATATACATAGAGTGGCACCTGGGTGATTCAGTCAGTTAAGCATCCGACTCTTGATTTCAGCTCAGGTCATGATATCAGGGTTGTAAGATCAAGTCCCGAGTCTAATTGAAATTCTCTCTCCCTCTCCCTCTGCCCCCCTCCCCGTCCCACTAGTGCACACGTGTGTGCTCACGCTCTCTTGCTCTCTCAAAATAAATAAATAAATGGGGGCACCTGGGTGGCTCAGTTGTTAAGCGTCTGCCTTCGGCTCGGGTCATGACCCCAGGGTCCTGGGATCGAGCCCCACATTGGGCTCCCTGCTCCACGGGAAGGCTGCTTCTCCCTCTCCCACTCCCCCTGCCTGTGTTCCCTCTCTCGCTGTGTCTCTCTCTCTCAAATAAATAAATAAAATCTTTAAAAAATAATAAATAAATAAATGAAATCTTAAATAACTAAATTAAAATATATACATGGGGAAAAAAAGACTAAAAGCAAAAATACCAAAATCTTAACAGTAATCAATTCTAAAGGTGGAGGTATGGGTGATTGCTACCTTCTTCTTTGAACTTTTACTATGTTTTTAAAATTAAAAACACTGATTCACACAGTAACATTATTCTAGTAAATTTAAAATGGATTGGGGGCACCTGGGTGGCTCAGTTTGTTGAGTGTCCAACTCTTGGCTTCAGCTCAGATTGTGATCTCGGGGTTGTGAGATCGAGCCCCTCGGGCTCAGAGCTCAACCAGAGATCTGCTTGAGATTCTCCTCTCCCTCTCCCTCTGCCCCTCCCACTGCTGTCTCTCTTGCTGATGACATGCTCTCTCTCTAAAAGTAAATAAATCTTTAAAATGGATTGTATTCCTTTCCCATTATTCTAGGGAAGAAAATTTAAAAAAAAAAAACCAGTTCACTGAGGGGCACCTGGGTGGCTCAGTCGGTTAAGCATCTGCCGTTGGCTCAGGTCGTGATCCCGGGTCCTGGAACAAGTCCCACGGTGGGCTCCCTGCTCAGCAGGGAGTCTGCTTCTCCCTCTCCCTTGCCTGCTTGTGCTCTCTCTCTTTCTATCAGATAAATAAATAAAATCTTTTAAAAAAATATTTCATTTTTTTATTTATTGAGAGAGAGAGAGAGCGTGCAGTCGAGCGCACAAGTGCACTGCGGGGAGTGGGGGGGGTAGGCAGAGGGAGAGGGAGGGAGAGAATCCTGGAGGTCTGGCTGTTGTCAAGCTAAGGTTGCTTTTAGCCTCTAGGAAAGCATGAACATTAAGGCAGTTGTGAACTCCTTGAGGATTGACGTATGCCTGTCTCAAGTATTTGTCAATGGGCTGCAAGTTGTAAGGAAATTTAATTTTACCTACTTTTCTTTTGCCTTTGTTCTCATCACAGGGGTTAGCAAACTTTGTCAAGGGCCAGACAGTAAATATTTTAGGCTTTGCAGGCTGTGGTGTCTCTGACTCAGCTCTGCCCGTGTAGCACAGATGAATGAGTATGGCTGGGCTCCAATCACACTTCATGATGGAGTCTGAAATTTTATTTCTTAGAATTTTTCACATCGTGAGCATTATTCTTTTCATTTTTTTTCAAATGTGAAAATGTGAAAACAGTTCTTAGACTACACTCTACAAAAACAGACAACCGGCAGGATTTGGCCAACAGGTTACCGTATACAGACTCGACGCAGACAAGGATTTGGCAAATCTAATTAAGATATCTATTTAGAAAAAAGAAAAAAGCCCACAAAATGAGGATCAATGAAGGGGATATAGTCAATAATATAAATTAATTTTTAAGTTTTAAGCAAATTTTAGACTATTAAATTTGAAAGCATTAAGTAGAAAACTTTGTAGAAAACATAAATTTCCTGCTGTTCTCCTCTCCTACAGGAGAACACTTCAAAAATCCAGTGATTGTGGAAGAAATTGAAAAAGATTATCAAAATATTTCCAGGGACACCTGGTTGGCTCACTCAGTTAAGCATCTGCCTTCGGCTCAGGTCATGATCCCAAGGTCCTGGGATGGACCCCAACATCAGGCTCCCTGCTCAGTGGGGAGTCTGCTTCTCCCTCTCCCTCTGTGGCTCCCTCTGCTTGTGCTCTGTCTCTCTCTCTAACAAATAAATAAATAAAATCTTAAAAATATATATATATTTCCATAAAAACAAGCCAGACCCACTCTTTCCTGTGTAAGTTCTTTAAAACTTTTAAGGACCATATTTAGCTACATTTTTAAAAAAGATTTTATGTATTCATTTGAGAGAGACAGAGACAGCACAAGCAGGAGAGGTAGAGGCAGAGGGAGAGGGAGAAGCAGACTCCCCACTGAGCTGGGAGCCCAGCATGGGGCTCGATACCAGGACCCTGAGAAGACAACCGGAGCCGAAGGCAGATGCTTAACCATCTGAGCCATCCAGGCGTCCCTAGCCACATTTTTTTTTTTTTTTATAAAGCAAAGAAAAAATCTCTTTCAAGGAACTTATCATTTTTATACAATATAAAGTGTTCCAGGGCATGGGGAAACCTTTCCCA